CCACCTCCGGAGTTCGATATCGATTTTGACGGTTTTTTAAACTCCCTGTTTCTTTACTGCGTCCTTTTCCTGATTGGCTCGGGCTTTTGCGATTTTGTGTGTTTGCACTTGCCGTTATGCCCTTTTTTCAGTTTTGGTACATTACGGGCATCCTCAAATCGCTGTGCATGTTCATTAGTGTCCTTCAGTGAGACAGGACAGTTTTGCGAGACATACGAATTCGTTTTGGGCCGGAGGTTCTGCTGGTAAAACTAGCGTTTTACCACTTCGGACATGTCGATGGAGGACATGGACAGCAGTTGCATAAACTTAGTCCTGTACCCCTGTTGCGTACTTGACACTTGCAAATCATGCATTTCGTCAACAGCTTGAACTCGTAATCGCTGTCACGATAACGTGCATGGATCTGCTGCTTCAACAAAGACCACGTACGGGGTTGGTGCCAATCGCATGCTTGAACTCACCGTACCACGCCATGATATCTACGCCCAGAAATGGGACGACAACTTCAACGAATCGTGAGTCATTTCTCTCCATCTCAAGAGTGTTGGCGGCAAAGTGCTCTTCTATGTGGAGAAGCCATAGCTCCAAATCATCATCGGCACGTCCATGAAACTTAGGCGGGTTAGCCTTCTGCTTCTGGCGATTGGCTCACGACTGCACCTCGTACATTTCATGTTGGAATTGCGCCTGCTGCGCCATAAAAGTGTGCATCTGCTGCTGGCTTAATGCCATTGTCTGCTGCTGCATGGAGAACATGTGTACTAGGCTAGCTAGCATCTGGGCCGTGCCACTGGCATCAGCCTCAGCCGGGCCAGGTTGAGGTGCAGGTGGTGGTGGTCCTGCTGGCATTGCAGCTTGTGCGCTCGCCGCCGGCGGCGGCGTTTCCTGATACTGCTGATTGGGCATAGCCCTGGGCTCGGCGTAGCCCCCCGTGCCAGGAACTTGAGCCTCATTAGTGGAGTCCATCCGTGAAGCTTGGTAGGGTCTTAGATTAGGTGATTCGTCCTCGGGTTGGCGAGCAGTCTTCTTGGAGTCATTCCTCGGA